AATTTTATGGGTTATCTATAATAAAAAGATAATAACCAGCACTGGGAAAAATGTGGAGAAATTGGACCCTTGCATACCTGCTGACAGGAATGTAAAATAACGCTGCCACTTTGGAAAGCAGTCTGCTGCTGCTGCTGCTGCTAAGTCGCTTCAGTCGTGTCCGACTCTGTGCAACCCCATAGATGGCAGCCCATCAGGCTCCCCCGTCCCTGGGATTCTCCAGGCAAGAACACTGGAGTGGGTTGCCATTTCCTTCTCCAATGCATGAAAGTGAAAAGTGAAAGTGAAGTCGCTCAGTCGTGTCTGACTCCTAGCGACCCCATGGACTGAAGCCCACCAGGCTCCTCCGTCCATGGGATTTTCCAGGCAAGAGTACTGGAGTGGGTTGCCACTGCCTTCTCCAGAAAGCAGTCTAGTAGTTCCTCAAAAAGTTACAAATAGTTATTTGACCTAGCAATTCCATGCCTAGGTATACACCCAAGAGAAATAAAAGCATATGTTTGCAGAAAATGTTGTAAATAAATATTCACAGCAGCATTGTTGTAATAGCCAAAAGATGAAAACAAACCAAATGCCCATAAACATTTGATAAACAACAAAGGTTGGATAAACAAAATGTGATACTGTCCAACAATGGAATATTATTCACAGTAAAAAAAGACATACACATTACAACATGGATGAGCCTTGAATGCATTATGTTAACTAAAAGAAACTAGTCACAAAAGACTCCATATTATATGATTCCATTGATATGAAATGTGCAGAATAAGCAAATGTATGGAGACAGAAAGCAGTTTAATGGTCCTCTAGGGATGTGGAGGGAAGATGAGAATTTTGGGAGGAATAGCTAAAGAGTATGAGATTTCTTCTTGGGGTGATGAAATGTTCTTAAATGGTGGTGATGGTTACATAACTGTAAATATACAAAAATCATTAAAACCATTGTGCACTTTAAATGAGTCAATTGTATGGCAACAGAAAAGTTGCTGCCAAAACTATTATGGGAAGCTAAGACTGGCTAGTGAGTATTTCATAAAGTACTGTATTTAAGTAGGTATTAAAAAGGGTAGATTTTGATAGCAGGAGATAAGGGATGGTGTACTGCAGAGATGTATCAAGGACATTTTGGGTGAAAAGAGAAGTCTGAACATTGGTGGCGTGGGCTTGCAGAAAATCTTTTCAGTTATTTGACATTAAGTATATGGGTGGATTGTTGGTAATAATAGCTTGCTGCTAAGTCACTTCAGTCGTGTCCAATTCTGTGCGACCCTATAGATGGCAGCCCACCAGGCTCCTCTGTCCCTGGGATTCTCCAGGCAAGAACACTGGAGTGGGTTGCCATTTCCTTCTCCAATGCATGAAAGTGAAAAGTGAAAGTGAAGTCGCTCAGTCGTGTCAGACTCTTAGCGACTTCATGGACTGCAGCCTACCAGGCTCCTCTGTCCATGGGATTTTCCAGGCAAGAGTACTGGAGTGGGGTGCCATTGCCTTCTCCAATAATAGCTTACATACACACAAAACATTTTTCTATCACTTACAGAACTGATAAAGCATAAAGGACCATCATCATTAACTCAGAATTCCCTAAATTAGCAAAATTACTAACATTTGGAAGCAATAATAAAGGAATCTGTATGCATTATAATTCTATTATGTAAAATATTTCTATTGTTTCCAAATATGTGACAGAATTACTACTCTAAAAGAAATGAAATACATTTTATCAGTGGGAGAAAAGTCTTTCAATTAAATCATTCACTTGTCAATTCACATAAGTTTGAGTTAATTTTAAATCTTACTCAACAAGTTTGAAGAAATAACTTGCCAAATTAAATTTCAGATTAAAACAAATGAGATTTTATACTAAAATCAGTTGAATTAAAATAATTTCAATGTTTTAAGTAAAAATATAATTAGTAAATTGAAAATTTTAGTTACATAGGATATCTTAGGTACTAATTCACATTGGTCAATCACTACAAACTAAAACAGCAATTTAAATAAATTAAGTTAGGTGGTGGTGTAATAATTACTGAATTGACTGACATAGTTCTATATTATAATCATATTAGCCATTTGCAAAATACATAATAATTTGAGCAATTCATAATCACACGCACTTAACTTGCCTCTTGAGATGAACAGCTTGGGAAGAAAGGGAACTAAAAGTGAAACAGAAAATTGTATGACATTTAAAACTGTAGAACTTTGTCGACATTTTATCTTTATTAAAACTAAAAGAAAATGGAGAAAACATGAGAAAGGGTCAATATTTAAATATAATTGTGCCAAAAATGCTCTGTCAGATTTTAACTTACAAGATGATTTGGGGGAACCCATATATAAAGGTAAAATTAATTACCAGGCTTATTCATAAACTTTTAAGTACTGTATACTGGGAGTCCATAAAATTTGAGTTATAAACCAAGGATCTTGTTCTACATCATTTTAGAAGAGTCTTTAAATATATATACATATTTATTTAAATACACTACTTGGTTCATTTTAGTTCATGCCATATACTATGAATTTCTAAGGAAATATATTATTTATATACCTTTTAACCTTATGCAAGCTACTTAAATTTGTCTTGGCCTCTATACCCTGATTTGTAAAATTCAGGTAATATAGGTTATTACACATGAAGCTCTTTGAACACTGACTGGTTTCTAGCAAGATATGCTAGCTATTCTTCTTTTTTTTTTCCCCTATAAACAGAAACTGACCCTAAGAAAGGCATTATTAATTAACAAATTTTAATTTCTGAGACAGAGATAACAATTATTTGGACCAGAATTTGTTAGAACAACAAATTATATATATATATATATATATATGGTTTAAAACTTACTAACAGCTGATTTTTTTAACCTAAAAATATGGTTTGTAACTAACTTTCCAAATTATTTTCCTGTAACATTGTCACTATCACAGTAGTCCAGATTAGTAAACAGGCTTTAGTATTTACAAAATGAATCTGTGAGACACCTACAATTTATACAGCTGCCTTCTGTGACCCTTACTTCTCGCTTCACAAAACATCCATACCCTACTTCTTTTCTACCGCATTCAGAGATCAGGGTCACATCTGTGCACTGCTGATTTAAACATGAACACTGAAGATCTGGTAGAAGATCAGTGTTTTAGGATACTTTGCAAGGTTTTTCAGACACAAGGATTCTACAGAGACTATGAGTTAGGACTGGGGGAAAGGGAAAGGAGCAAATTTGCTCAAAGAAAAATCTGTTTAAAAGACAGAAGTGGGAGGAGTACTGAGAGAGTGAATTGGTCAAGGGCCATACAATTGGATTGTTAAACAAGTTACTTCAAGTCTACTTTCTTTGTTCTTCAAGTATTTTAACTTAAGTTTATTTTGAGAATTTTTCTTATAAGCATAAATTAATATTAATAATTACTCTGTCTACTATTAAAAGAGAGAAATACAAAGGAGTTATTAACCTTTATCAGATTTTGCCTCTGGTATTACTGGGCAGATCTTATCATAATAAACTTCAAGGCAGTAACCAAATTTGTATTAACTAATTACCTTTAGTGGAAACTAAAGTCCAGAGATGCTAAACTAAATAACTGTATAATTACTGAACATAACTGCGAGGATATGGGAATGAGGAAAGACAACACATTATCTAAATAGGTCGGGAATCATGTTTATGAATATTCTCCAGTTCATTAGGATCAAGAGTAAGACCGGAAAAACAAAAAAAAACAATTTGTGGCAGAAAGAAATAATGACTTCATTTGCTTAAATTGCCAAATGGCCTCAGAGAAAAATCTCTCAAGTATTTTTCAAAAATATAAAAACAGAACCAAAACTTGAATATTTACTTAGGAATCTGAGGCAAACATTGGTTCATAGACTTAAGATTAGTTTTGAACAGGACAAGTCATTTTCATGATACAGAATTGCTAATAACATAGGGACATCCAGGAGCTGGTATTAGAATAGCCTTATTAAACATTTTCTAGGAGAGGGACAATAATGTGCTGTCTTCAGTTTACAATCAACAATAACTTCTTTTTGGTAAAATGAGAGATTTCTAACTGGCAGAAATATGGTTGGAGCTGTTCCTAAAACATGCCAGGTAGTTTTTGGCACACTTCTAGAAAAAGGAGCACTATTTTGTAAACAGAAGGATGATTATAAGTCCACTTCTCTATTGCCATCCGCCACTCCGAAGTTGTATGGGGTGAAAATGCAGAATAAAGGTAAGACTCAGCCCCTTTGAGACTCTAAAGCAGGAGTTTTTAGTCTAAGATCTAGGATATGATTCCACAGACTGCTTTCCAGGGAGCTGCTTTTCAGCGAGCTCTCTGTACAGGACTGTATGGGTATCTTGAAACAATCTACTTTCATCGGATTCTCAAAAGTGCTTTAAGACCCCAAAATGGTTATTGGCCAACACTAAGACATCTGTAACCCATCAGGCCATTGATCTGCTGCTCTGAATTGGCCTTAGACGAGCGCCAGAACAGAGTGAAAACTGAGAGTGGGCAGGCCGTGAATGTTTTGTAGTAATGGGGATTAGTGCTGTGGGAACAGAGAGAAAACAGTAATGGGGAAGGAGTTCCCAAGAGTGACAGCAGGGAGGAAATGGCTAATTACACAGTTACCTGGTTGAAGTGACTATTTTTCATAGCTGTTAGCATGTTAGTCATAGGTTAAATTACCATCATGTTCCCCTTGCCACCCTCACCCCCAATTATTTAGGCAGTGAGAACAACTTGTGCTTGCTTTCCATTATTTTTTCTATATTAAAAGTTGCTCTTCATTACACACAGAGTAGATGCTATTCATTTATCGTTAGCCTGATGTGTAGTTTCCTCTTTTCAATATTAGAAATGAGATAAATTATTAACATTAAGATGATTAAGCACTGTTCCAACCACAGGCACAAACTTATTCACCAGATTGACTTTAAATTCAGTAATATCATGTGCACTTATTATTTACAACAAATAAAAAAATAACAGTTTACCTGCGAGATTGTCGATTTCTTTCTCTTGGAGTAGACTAACCGCATCGTCATCTCCTTCCAGCATAAGCTCTGTCTCTGCATTCTGATTCACTATCGCTTGACTTCTGAATGTTTTCTTTGACTTTACCACGTCTTCTTCAGTCCCTAATCACAACCAAAATATAGTAATTTAGGTCACTGTGATTGTTTTACTTTCAGTGAGTGTTACAGAAAAAGCTATTACTTATAGATATATACTGCATTTACATATTACTTTCAACTATAGAAAAAAAATGTACATTTTGTATTCCGTTTAGTCTAAATAACTGTGAGAAAGCAAGGGGTGTAATGTTACAGGTGAGGAAACAGGCGGAGAAAGCTACATGCATGGTTGGGGAACCTAGAACTCTGCATTCTAAGATCACTGTACTTTCTACAAAAAACTCTGGACTTCACCACAAACTAGGTTTTCTGATCCATAAAAGTTACACAGGTTTACATAATTACACTTTAGTGTGAATCAGATAATCAACTGATCAGATCATTCACAAAAGTAGATAAGTATGAAGAAAACAAGAAAGCATTCACATCTGAAAGGAGAAACAGCTGTTACTGAAAAGCCACAGAAAGGATAAGCAAAGATGTAGGTGTAAAACGTAAATACTTCAAAACAGCTATTTCCTTAGCAATGAGAAGGGGATGACAGTGGATGAGATGGTTGGATGGCATCACTGACTCGATGGACATGAGTCTGAGCAAGCTCCAGGAGCTGGTGATGGACAGGGAAGCCTCAGAGTCAGACACGACTGAGCAACTGGGCTGAACTGAATTAGCTGTGATATCTTTATTTTGATATATATAAAGTAGTACAAGGGCTTCCCTGGTGGCTCAAGGGTAAAGAATCTACCTGTCAATGCAAGAGATGTGGGTTCAGTATCCCTGAGTCGGGAAGATCCCCTGCAGAAGAGAATGGCAACCCACTCCAATACTCTTGCCTGGAAAACCCCATGGGCAGAGGAGCCTGGCAGGCTACAGTTCACAGGGTCACAAAAGAGTCGGGCAAAACTTAGCGACTAAACAACAATGCAAGTAGTACAAACAGCCAAAATTCAAACGCACAAAAAGTAACTGAAAGACACAAAAGTCTACAAGCCATAAATGCTGGAGAGGGTGTGGAGAAAAGGGAACCCTCTTACACTGTTGGTGGGAATGCAAACTAGTACAGCCACTATGGAATTGGGATGGGGAACACATGTAAATCCATGGCTGATTGATATCAATGTATGGCAAAAACCACTACAATATTGTAAAAAAATAAAATTAAATTAAAAAAAAACTGAGAAAAATTAGTTGACCTAGCATTAACATGTTAATCCATGTGAATGTTAGAAATTACAATGCATTTAAGTGTCTCATGGATTTGACTCCTTAACAAATATTTCAATATTTACATTTAGACATTTGCTTTGGCAGGTGATAATGAATGTGAAATTATCTGAGCTACAAGTAAATTATATATATATAGCTAAGAAATACCTATATTTCATGTCACCTGAAGTTGGAATTCAACATGGAGGAATATGGTTTAATTTACTGTGTTCCAGCTTTAGTGTTAGGGTATAGGGTTCAAAGAGCAGCATTAACTAGAAAAGTATTTTCACATTTCATTTGGTATGCTGCATATATTCCTGAAATGAAAGTGAAAGTCGCTCAGTTGTATCCGACTCCTTGCGATACCATGGACTGTAGCCTGCCAGGCTCCTCTGTCCATGGAATTCTCCAGGCAAGAACACTGGAGTGTGTAACCTTTCCCTTCTCCAGGGGATCTTCCCAACCCAGGGGTTGAACCCAGGTCTCCCACACTGCAGGCGGGTTCATTACCGCCTGAGTCACCAGGGAAGCCCAAGAACACTGGAGTGGGTAGCCTGTCCCTTCTCCAGGGGAGCCTCCTAACCCAGGAATCGAACCAGGGTCTCCTGCACTGCCGGTGGAGTCTTAATCAGCTGAACCACCAGGGAAATCCATTTCTGAAATGGAGGCATAATAAATCACTGCTATATAGTATTTTTGTATCATAGTTTCAGGGGATGCTATGGTTTTGTGTACACACGTAATTACTTTCCAAATCTTGTCATGCCTTTGGCCAAAAATCCAGTGAACAATGAATACTCTTGGTTAATTTTCCTAGGCCCAATATAGGGATTTCCAGGTCTTTCCTGTCTACTGATACTGGCTCAATCATTTGTTGGTTAAGCATCTAACCATGGTAAAACTTGCATTGTAAACCAAAGTGTTAGCTTCTTTCTTTGCAGCATTCACAATTCTTTTTTGTTAGTGATTCAGAGCCAATTCTGTTTGCTAAAACATTAACAGATTGACTCAGAGGTAGCCCGCAGAGGAGTAAAAAATACATGTTGAGGTGCACAGTCATGTCACAGTAGCACTGTCACTGGCTGAGAGGTATACTCTGTCATCCTAGCTTTTACTGCATAATAGCATTAGAGAGCCCAGTTTAAATACAGCTTAACAGTATAAAGTAATGGATTGTTAAATATATCTTTCAATAGACACTTAAGAAAACAAGCAGTACTATTAGAGATCAATGCTGCTTGGAAGGTGAGGAGACTTAAATGGCTTATATGTGTAGTCTTTCATCGGCCCACAGATGATTCTCATTTCTGGAATAAAAGATTGAGGACTGATTACTGAATGCTCCAGAACCTTATCTTTATTTCCTTTGGAGTCTTGGTGATATAAAGCCAGCCCAACAGTGATCTTCCGGGGGCAGCTATCTATATGCAGTTTGTTGCTTGCTTAGTATCTTAATTTGAGAAATTCGAAGCTTGCACCTTTTGGAACAAAGAGGCAAATCCAAAGATTAACAACCAAGAACTCTCTCCTGAGGCCTTTATGGCCATATGTCTACTAGACATCTTCAGCTAGATATTCCTAATTCAACATTTCCCTAAATGAATGATCTCTTGTTCCTTCACCTCCTCCTATTTTGATCAACATACTTCATTAAGCCACAGACACATGATTCACCCTGTAAGGTGATGGTCTCAGCTGTTCAAGCCATCATCATTTTGGTTTAGAAGGCTTTGAGAGCCCCCTTATTCACAGCATCCTTCATATTTTTGTCAGAGTATTATTTTATTTCATCACTAATAACTTGAAAATATTTTCCTGCTTAGTACTGTTTATTAACTCCTCCAATCAACAACACTCAATGCAAGACTTATACCCTAAGATAAAATCTAAGCTCCTTAGGATGACTGATTAAGGCCTTTTATCCTCTCATTACCTCTCATTAGTTTTGTTTTACCTTTTCTTACTCTCCCATGAGCAATACTGAACCATTTACAGCTTCCAGATTATGTCATGCTTTCTCGGATCTCTTTATCTGTGTTAAAAGCATTCCCTCAATAAAGTATGTTCTCTCTTTCCTCCTTTGTTTGGCTAATTCCTACTTGGCCTGCAAAACTCACCTCTTTTGGGTGCCTTTCCTAAATGACGCATACTGTCGCAGTCTACATAGGACTCAACCATACTGAGTGGGTGCTCGCCATTATGCGTATGTCTTCTCCTCTGGGCTGTAGCTTCATTCTGCAGCATCAGTGCCTGGTACTAAGCACGTGTGCCACAAACACGTGCTGAACTGAAGTTCAAGTCTACACATCCCGAGTTCCCCTCTCTGGATGCTTTAGGTAGGTCTGTGTGCTCTTTCCCTATACATCCATCATATCTCATGAGTCCTGCTACTACAGTAGTTACATGTATTATAATTGGTTGTGTGCTTGTTATCTCTACAGAGCCTGGAAGCTCCTTCCTTGATGACGAGAAACATCCTTCTGTCTTGGTATGCCCAGTTCTCAGCACACTCCCGAGGACAGAGCAAGTCCTTACAAATACTGAATAAATGAATAATAGTTACCTCTGGATATCTCTTAACCTGAAAATCCCAGGATGTCTCAGAGATTCTTGGTGAACTGACTTCAGTTTGAGAGATAATTGAAGAATCTTATGTATTAACACAAAAGGGAACTTGGTTCTTAACAAGAAATAGTCAATAACCTCCTTTAGGCATGCATGAGTCAGCTTGATAAAATAAGTTTTTGTTCATATCACAACCATCTGTATTCTGCTTTGTCTTTAAAAAAAAAAGGCTTTACATTACTCTTGTGTTATTAAAATTAAAATCTACCAATAAACAAATTGCAGTTAAAGGAATGTGAGCTCTCAAATGTATATTCAGCTTTCAATGTTACCCCCTCTAGTTTTAAAGCAGCAAAACAACTGTGTGTTTAAAAGATATGTAGTAAATGAATTCATGCCAACACACCAGAACTTATCTTTCCTGTTGAAGTATTATCAGTTTTCAGTTCGGTAAACTTCCTAATTTTATGGTACTGCACCAAACATTTATCTAAATTAATGTGTATGAGATCCAAAGGTGCTTTTCAATCACAATATCCTTTATGAATTAGACTTTCATTTATCAAAATTACAGGCAAAAAGAGGTAAGGTCTCAAAGGGCTGTCTCATTACAAGGCTTATAAACACTGTCCTTAGGAAGAATTGGTTTAACACCCAACAAATCAAAATCCGATTGGGAAGGGAATTTATCTGAGATCATCTATCTTCAGAAGACATGTTGGACTCAGAGCACCTCTTGGCCTCTTCAGCCATTCATCAAGAAATTAATGAGCAGGTACCACAAACCACCAGAAAGCCTTAGATTCGAAAATGTGAATTATGTGTAAACCTGGACAGGATAGACATATATGCTTATTTTCCAAGAAAACATTAAAATGTCATAACATTTGAAAGGTTTCAGAATAAAAAAATCCCATCAAATTATAGATTCAAGAAGCCAAATCTAAAATTATACTTAAAATATTTTTCATATCATATTACAAATAACAAATGCCGGAAACTATCCTATACACATTAGATTTCTTAGTATGTAAATATGCTTAAAGCTCTGTTTGTGAAGATGTTATCTAATATAGTACATGGCATTACATGAACCTAAATAAAGCTCCTCTCTCATAATATTTTTCTTGATAATAAGGATCCATATGAAACAAAATACATATTAAAAGTGAAGTAACAAGAAAACTAAGATGTTTCAGTTTTAGTGCTGTTACTATACTCTAGCATTA